CATTTTGCTGGGCGAGCGTTCAAAGAAGTGGGGCCAAAGTAAAAAAGTGGGGACAAATAGTCACCCTTTATTTTCATAAATGATTGTTAATTACTCACAATTATGACTAGAAGGACCTATGTACCATTAAGTCCCACAAGTATTTGTATAGACTAAAAAGTCCTAAAAATTTACAGCTAATCATTTTTTAAAATTTATTATAAAAAGTTGATAATTAGTTTTTTTAAAATCTATCATTAAAAATTGACAATTAGTGACGTTTGTTTAAATCTATTGCCCAAACAAGACAATTAATGATGATTTTCTGTGACATTTATTTAAATATCGCTAAAAAACGCCAATTAGTAACCTTTTTCTGTGATGATTTTTCAAACGGTCCTTAAAATAAACAATTAGTGACACTTTTTATAAAAACACAACTAAAAAAATAAAAATAATAAAATTTTATAGTAACAATAAAAATGAATATGACTTTTTAATACACCAAAAAATTAAGAGGATTTATTAGTGCATCCATCTTCTTAATAGAACTTTTCAGTCATTCCCCCATGAAAGAAAAAAAAAAAAAAAGAATTAAACAAAATGGCAAATTTCTCACCTCATGGCTTTATGTAATTAGCAAAAGTTAGGCCACCTACCCTTTTTTTTTCCCCCTAAGCCGAGTTTGTTTAGGATAAAAGTTGTAGAAAGTGAAAGAAAGAAAAAATAAAAGATTACGAATTTGTTTCAAATGGGAAAATTAAAGGCTCCTGGGCCTGACGGGTTTATAGCAGGTTTTTACCAATCATACTGGGATGAAGTGGGTCAATCCGTGTGGGAGTGTGTGCTTAATTTTCTAAATTTCAGAAACTTAATTCGGTCTTTAAATTCAACAATTTTATGTTTAATACCCAAGAAGAAGGTTCCACTCACCGTAAATGATTACCGTCCGATAAGTCTGTGCAATGTGTTATATAAAATCGGGGCCAAAGTGCTAGCTAATAGACTTTGAGAAATTCTGCCTGACTTGATTTCTGCTAATCAAAGTGCGTTTTTAAAGGGGCGGTTAATATCTGACAATATTTTATTGGCACATGAACTTGTAGAATATATTAAAAAACACAAAAAGGGTAGAAAGTCTATGTTTGGAATGAAACTTGACATGAACAAGGCCTATGACGGAGTCAGTTAGGAGTTTTTATTAGCGATCATGCGAAGAATGGGGTTTTCTCAACACTGGATTAGGTTGATTGAACAATGTGTCTCTACTGTTTGTTTTTCTGTATTAATCAATGGGAGTCACTCTAATTTTTTCCATCCATCAACAGGCCTTAGGCAAGGGGATCCGTTGTCTCCTTATTTGTTTTTATTGGTAATGCAAGCTTTATCGGATGGTTTTGCTCACCTTGAAAATCAAGGAATATGTAACGAAATAGCTATCTGTAGACAAGCCCCCCTCGTAAATCATCTCTTGTTTGCAGATGACTGTTTCATTTTTCAAACCTTTGAGTTATCCCATGTATGGTGTTTAAAATGGTTCTTGAGTGCTTTTGCTCACAAACAGGGCTTCATATTAACTTTCAAAAGTCAAAAATTTTCCCGAGCCCAAATATGTCAGACTTAGATAAACAGAGTCTACAATCAATTTTATGTGTTAAAGTTGGGACTCACTCGGGCATTTATTTAGGAGCTAACTTGGGTTTTATGGGCCGATCCTAAGGGGTTATTTTCAATTTTATTTTAGAAAAAATAACAACTAAACTTCAAGGGTGGAAATGTAAGTTGTTAAACTTTGCAGGGAGAGGGGTTTTGGTTAGACATGTGTTGCACTCGATACCGGTATACTTAATGTCGGTATTCCGAATGCCAAACACCTTTCTGACCAAACTATCTAACATAATCAGAAATTTCCTATGGAAGTCCAATGGTAAGCAGGAATTTACTGGCAAAAAATGGATGCATTTATGCTTCCCAAAAGATTGGGGTAGTTTGGGTTTTAGGGACTTAGCGTGTTTCAATCAAGCTCTACTTGCAAAACAAGTGTGGAGGTTGATTTCTAATCCAAATGGGTTATTGACAAGGGTCTCATTGAGTAAGGACTGTCATAGACAATCTCTCATTCATGTTACTTTGAGTTCCAATTCTTCTTGGGGATGGCGCAGTATCTTATGGGGTAGGGATCTACTGAAGTCGGGCCTTTATTGGGTAATGGGGAATGGGCAACAAATTCGGCCTTTCGAAGATCAATGGATTCCATCTATGCTCAACCCCTTGTGAGGAAGAGAAATCACAAGACTGCTTTCGGATATGCGGGTTGCACATTTTATTGACCGGGATCAAGGCTGTTGAAGAGAAAACTATCTACAATTGTTCTTCCCAGCAGCTTGTTCTCGTGCTATTATGTCGATTCACATACCCAATTATCCTTGTGAAGACAGACTAGTTTGGAGTCCCGTTAAAAATAGTGTTTATTCTGTAAAATCTGGGTATAAACAGGCCTTGATTCGGACTTACCCTATGTTTTATAGGACTTGTTCTACTCAAGGGGTATGGAAGAAGTTATGGAAAGTAGGCTTACCTCCAAAATGGATTGTCTTCATTTGGAACTGTCTCCATCGAATTCTTCATGTACAATGGGAATTAAAAAAACGCGGAGTCCATGTTAGTACTAGATGCGCCCAATGTCACAATGAAGAGGAGACAATTGAACATGTATTTTTTGAATGTGAGTGGGCACAACGAGTATGGAGGGGCTCACCTTTGGGTCTGGATTTTCGAATCGGTGTACCAGTATCTTTCTTTCAATGGTTTTCTGATTGGATTGAACAAGTTCATGACACTCAAATAGTTATCCACTCGGTTGCCATTCTATGGGCCATTTGGCTACAAAGAAATCGGGTCGTTTTCCAGCACATTGGCCTGAATGTTGACACCACCTTAGAGGAAGCTAGGAATCTCTTTCATATATGTCTTCATGTCTTATTAAAAAGGATAATGGCACTTGCTCTATTTCTGAAAATAATCATGGCACTAACACCTCTAACTTTTGTATTTTGCAGAATGTCATAGACACTCGTAGTGTCTTCGATGTTTGGCACTTTATCATCGATGGCTCCTGGAAGTCACCAACTGATCATGCAAGAATTGGGTGGATTTGCTTGGACAACCAGCAACAGTTGATTAAAATGCAAGCTGTGGTGAAACCACTCTTATCACATGCCTTATTAGCTGAAGTGCATGCGTGTTTGGATGCCATCCGATGGGCTGTACAACAAGGTTTGAAAAATATAAATGTGTACACGAACTGTCAAGTTTTGGTTCATATGTTTCAACATCCCCAATGCCAAGAGGATTGGCATGTTAGTACTCTTGTTCATGATATTCTAGCTTATGCTTAACGTTTGAATCATGTTTGTATTTGCAAAGTTGACAGACATGTTATTCAGGCAGCCCATAATCTGGCCAAGAATGTAACTTCAAATACTTAAGATATAATAAATGGCTGGTTTCGTTCTCAAAAAATCGTTCTCAAAAAAAAAACCAATGAAGGAAAGAAAAAATAAAAGATTACGAATTTGTTTAGTATAACAATGATTGGAGAAACAAAAAAAAAAAAAAAAAAAAAAAAAAAAAAAAAATTATTGTCCAACTCATCAATGTTGTAACTAACATTCCAATTTCCTGTAAAAAACATTCTAATTTCTTGTAAAAAGCACAAATAGAAGAAAATTTAAAGTTGTTCATTTAAGGAGAACAACCAAAAACACCTCTCCAATCTCCACTGTGAGAAAGGATTGGTCTATTTAGTCGTTACTTGAAGATAAGTATTTAAGAGTGGAAAGTGAAAGTGAGAATCAAATTGCAAAATCCATGGTTTAACAACACAAATAAAATGGAAATGAAAATTTTCATTATGCTTTAGCAACAAAATTAAAACGAAAATATAATATCTTTGACACCCATAAGCTAATCCTAAAGGAAAAGAATCATGATTGGTAGCTTGAATTTCGTTCCGAATGGCTCGAATTTTGACTTGCTAGATGACTCGAATTTTGACTTGCTAGATGACTGGTTGTTCGGCGAGAAGATTGACAGCCACAGTTGACAAGATGACAACCGCAGTAGACAAGTGTTGCACCGGTCGACCGGTACGCACAAATTCGGACCAACTCAATTCGAGCTACCAATCTTTATTGAAAGGAAAAACTGGTACAAGTTATATTTTAATTGACATCTTCCCCAACTGATTGCACTGGTTAAACACAAATCAATCACATCCTCTGTTGTCGCAACATTTCAGAAGCTATATATATACACACACATAAATTCAACAAGTACCAAAAACTATATCAATGCTCATATATCCAGATTTATGACAAACTACCAGTGGTGGGAGCATTTGTGTTCTGCTCATACATGTCTAGGGATCAGAACCATGCACCCCTGCCTTCTGTGTTACTCCTAGCTGACATTCTTGCAATTTCAACATCTTTCCCCCATAATATATATATATATATGAAAACTCTTAATAAAACATATCATACAATTAATATATATAAATATAAAACATAACACGCTACATAATTCATCAGAGCACCTGCAATTGGATCCTAGAATCTCTTATGTTTTGATCTCTTGTTACCCTGGGGGAGTTCTACATTGAGCAAAGGAAGATTATGATCTTATGTGAGGGAAGACAGTATCATAGGACTGACATATACCCTAGGGGGCTTTGGCCTGTAATTACCTGGTATATGTGAGGCAGGAGGCCACAGATGAAGCCCTAGACACTCAAGGTGATAACCTAGCTACCATCTCATAAAGATTTCATTTGTGGTGTGCTCTAATTGGGCTCACCCAAATGAGCAGTGCAATTAACCATACTATCAAGCAGGGATTAGGAGCAAATCTGTTAATACTGTGTCACGTGGGAGACAAAACATGCAAAATTTTCAGAATCTCAAAATTATTATTTTATTTCCTCCTCTTTCCTCTCTTCGTCAGCAACCAAACAGAGCCTCAATCATAAAACAGGAGCTTATATCATAAAAAAACATGGAATACCATATTTACAAGAGTCCAACCATACTGCCACTTAACAACAACAAGAGATCACCAGCAACATAACCAACACAGTATGTCTGATTTGTCCTACATGTCATGAGAATTATAGGAAAGAGTTCAATGCTCAACAAGAAAGAGGGAGGTTTGAGCTACACCTACAAAATACATACAAAAATGGTACGTGCTTCTCGTTGGATTATTGAACATGGGCTTGATTCTACGCAGCACAGCAACATGTAAACCTGCATTTTCCCAGGAGAATGTATATTACTTGAGCAGAACAAATATGCTACAGAAGCACCTATTGAAGAGAGCAGTCACAATGCAACTGTGCTACTTGATCACAGAACAGAGACAATATGGGTAGGCCCAACTATTGTCTATATTCTGTAATCTATTATGTGAATGGATTCTGTGCAACTAGATTTATTGAATATCCTCGTAGATTCATATCAGAATGTGTGGAAGGGAAAACTTAATTAGTAGAGACAAATTGCAAATTAATTTGCAATAGAGAACATTGTCTGATTAAAACACCATTTTTACAAAAGCTCCAACAACAAATATGAGGTAGGTTCAGAATATACGGATTTTTGTTTTCTTGTGTGCTACTCATTGGCCAACTGAACAAGGAGGAACTTGACTCAAAGGCACCATAGCAACTGGGAGCCTGTATTTCAAAAAAAAAAAAAAAAATGAATCTAGATTAAGCACCAAAAATAAAAGAATTATGAAATTTGTTAAGAATGGTTCTCAAACAATTAATAAATCAATGAAACTTCACCATACAGTAGTGGCAAAAACCATAAATACAAGTATGAAACCATTAACATATAGCAGAGAAGGTAACATAGAAGTTGTAAACAACACATAATGAAACCACAGCACACACGTAAATTGCCAAATATCACACCAAAAGTTCATTAACCCAAAAACAATTACCACAATAGAAATACTTCTATTAATGGGAGATATTACTTACTGAGCATCAAGCTGGACATTCTTTTTAGCCTTCTTCTTGTTCTTACGTCTTCGCTTTCTTGCAGAACTTGAACCAAGATCCAGGGGCTGTTCCAGGACAGGAGGCACAGATACAATAGGAGGATTAATTGCCTCATGTGATGGTTCTGATTTAAGTTCCTTGAATTCATGGAAAGACTGTTGAATTGCTTGAATATTAGTGAGTTGGCCCGAGCAAGTCTCTGAAATTGCAGTGCTTGGCACGTCCCTAGTACCCCCAGTAACTTCGACTTCTTTCCCCTTACCTAGTGGGGAGCTTAAGGTGTTTGCTGCCACAGGTGTAATGCCATTGAGCGTGTTGTGCAAGTCCTTAACTTTATGCAATGCAGCATAAAGCCTGAATTTAGACTTGATGATCTCGAAGATAACAGTTCCAGGGTCAGAATTACCTGCACAATAGAGTCAACAATTCATTCACACAACACACACTATGTTATGTCTACTAGATTTATATGAAACGGGAACACTTCTCAACACTTGCCCTTCTTACAAAAATCAATTTCCCCAAATAATTCAGACAAAAGCTTTATTGAGTTAACTATTAGAGATTTTAATTAAATTTTTTGCTATATCTTAAAAAGAGCGTAAATTGCACTAAACCCCACTGAGATTTGAGAATTAGACACTAAACTCTCTCTCTCTCCCCCCCCCCCCCCCCCCCCCCCCCCTCTGTTAAGTACCATTGATAAATAGGCTTATAACAGTCAATTTTCCATTCAAAAAAATAAAAAATAAACCAAGTATTGCAATGGATTATATGTATACTACAAACACTATGTAATTTTTGAAATAAAATAATTATAAGCCATGTGGAAATCGAGTCAAATATGTTGTTCCATTACTATCATGTTTGGGCACTAACCTCTCTCTCTCTCTCTCTCTCTCTCTCTCTCCACCATCACAAAACTCACCATGCCACCCTTCACCACCAATCCCCTAGCAAACTTACCATGCTCAGGTAGTATTAGCTTTTTTTTTCCCCTTTTCTACAGAAATTCACACACACACACACAAAAAAAAAACAACTTTTCTAGACAACTTTCACAAACACTTCCACAATAAAATAATTCCCAGCTTCCTTAAAATATGATTTAATTTACTTTTTATCTATAGAAAACCTGATCATAAGTTGACCTTATTGTTCCAAGCACCTAATGGATCTTCTTTCTTTTCTTTCTTCTGTTTTCATTTATAAAGATGGGGTGCAAACAGGTTGTTGTAACTTGTATTATTCATTTGTATGACAGTCGGAACTATTGCTGGTCCCAATGAAATCTCAGTATTGATCTTGATCATCTTCAATGGCGTTGTTTTCCATTTTTATCCTTTATTATTTGAGGACAAAAGGATAGACAATGATGAAAAGTTGGATAACTCAAGCAAAATAAAAGGAGAGAAGTGGAAATGGTGTAAAGGAGTAATAAATCATTTATTCTATGAAATAAATTATTACAAACAATTGGGTCATCACCTTACAAGTGTGAAAGAATGTCCAAATCAAATGATTCTAACATCATATAGTCAATTCCATTTATTTTCATAATGACACTCTCTCATCTTCTTGCTTGGTGACAGGTTTACTAGCAAATCCAAAAGAAAACAATAAATTAAACTCACACAAGACCTAGTTCCTTTGACGCCATGTTTCTGTATCCTAGCAGGTTCCATTTAGTTGATTAATTAGGTGCACACACACACACAAGAAAGAGGAGGGGAAAAAAAAAAAACGTTAGTAACTGAAACATCCAGAATCCAGCTTATATGCATACACAACCACAAATAAATGCATACATGTAGAGAAAGACACACATACAGATAGCTTCTCCATATATTTTGATTGAACAATGAACTTGTAAATAAGGGTTGAGAAGGGATACCCAAAACAGATAAGATAACAGCCCGTGCTGCCAACTGCTCGGCCTCTTTCTTATTTCTTCCTGCCTCACCAGTATACATAACACCATTGAATATCAAAGAAGATACAAAAACTGGAAGCAACCCCCCTGGCTGAATCGTATTATAAGTGGGTTTCTCTAGATTCGTCTTGACTGCATATTCATTGAGGATAGACTTGCAAAAGACTGTGTCCTGGATGAACGAAATGAGAGAGGAAAAAAGAGGAAAAAGACTCAGACATTGACCAAAAAAGGAAAAGGGAAAAGAAAGAAGAATTTGAATGTCAAAAAAATGGAAAATATAGAAAACAAAATTAAACCTACTTAGCACCAATCAATACATTGAAGATTACACATATCTTCATTTCCATTCATTCCTTCTACAAGTATATATTATACAAGGGCAAAAGACAACGACATATCTCATATTTAATGTTTTATAATCACAGAAAATAACAGGGGCTACTAAATCAGATTTGATTGACCTCCATTTTACCTCAATAAACGCTATTGGACAAGCCCAATTTGACCCTTCAATACTGCAACACTTGCACACACAGACAAAGCAAATATTGTCAAGTAGATACCATTCAGGCATCTATTCACAGAAACCACAAAACTTCATGCAGCTACCTACCGCATCATACAGGAAATTGGTCTCCAAAACTTGATGATATACATATGTAAGGTGATTCAGCCATCTATAAATGAACTATATGTAAAAACTGTTCTGAAACAACAGAAAAAAATATATCACAGAGTTTCAATAATGTGACAATCAAAGACTATGATATGCCAATCAACAGAAATGAAACTGACAGATATGGTTTGATCCAGGGTCCAAGGAAATGTTTGCAATTTTCCAATTATAATTATAGCAGTATACAACCAGTATGTAATAGGAATGGGAGAACCTAGATTCCATAGTTGACAATTCTTTTGAGACCTCGTTCCAATTAGACAGAGAAGAAACATGCGTGCAAAAAAACCACAGTGGGTATTGACTAAAATTCAATTGGAACTTAGCCAACAATCAAAACATTTAAGTGGTAAGTCGCAAAAGAGAACATTTTCTAGAGGATATGAAAGCCACAAGCTAGTGAGTCAATTAATCCTTTTACAACAACAAAACCAAAGTTAACTTAGTAACTTGAAATGTAAAACTATTGCAAGTTACAAAACTCCAGGTCACCAAACCAAACTTAGTAAGTTGAAATTTAACCACATACCTCACGAATAAGATGACAAACTTCATCTTTTATCTTTTGTGCTGTACCATCCAATGCAATCTTGGCAACATCTTGTTCTGCAGCCTTTCGATTTGAAAATGTGAATGGAGATGTGTAGTATGCTCCATTTACTAGAACAGTAGACCTAAACCTTGGCGGATTCTGGCCTTCTACCTTAATTGTATTATATACTGGGAGGTCTATGGCTGATCTTTGAGTGTACTCTTGCAAACGGTTCTTGTACATTAAGTGTTCAGGGAGATCTAGCAAAATAAGGCAAATAAATTATACCAAAATACAATTTGTTAGTTACAGTGAATTGAAAGCTTTACTACTTAAATAAGAGTGATGTCGAATTGAAATGCAAACCCTAATTTTCTAATGGCAATCGATAATGAACTAGTGAATTTTCAGGCATTGCAACGCTATCCTACTTTCAAAAAGTAATAAGATCAATGAAAAAATTCAGTTGAAGAAAAAAGCAAAGCTGCAAGGTTGTCACATCACATAAGTATGAAAATCTCACTATAGAAAAGTGAACAGTCCACATATAGTAAAGGCTCTAAATGCAAATTTTGGCAGATGTATTTCAAGAAGCTGCATAATATGATGGGAGAATTCTCGAAGTATAACACAAACATACCAATAGGTACATACACACACATATAGATAAATATATACTAAGAAGCACGAACACGGACACGGACACGGACACGTGGCACGATATGAACATGCGAACATGCAAATTTTCAAAAACACGTTGGGGAATACATGCAAAACATATAATTTTATATATTTATTATATGCCACATTTTTGGATATTTAATATTTATTTTATGTCAAAATATTTAATTTTATCAAATGTATTAACCTTAGATATGCTATTTTTTACAAAAAAAAATTTGGAAGAAGTGGTCCTCTGTGTGCCCCAAGTGTCCCAGCGTATCCGTGTTGTACGTGACCTCCGGAGAGGTTTCTGTGCTTCATAGTGTATATATGTATATATATTTTTCCGTTGCTCAGCAAATAGCTGTACATACACTGGAGGAAGATCACTAAGATCACCGCCAAGGATATTATCAGAGTAACATCAAGTTTGAAGAAGGTATTAAGAAAAAAGTGAAAATCTCGTTTGAACTTTGAAGTTGTTCAAAAAGAGTGCCATAACAAACATTTTTCGTAAGTCCCACAATATTTTGGCAAAAAACTACAGAGCTATTTACAATTAATATGTATAAATATAGCTGTACATCTGTATGCATAATGCACATACCTACATAAAACTCTAAAAATGAACAAAATAAATTAGATGAATCTGCTGCACAGCCCATGAAATTGAAGTGACACTCAAAATGCAATCTTCTTCTTTCACAAAAAAGACAACCAAAGTTTTCGTTTAAAAAAAAAAAAACTCAAACCAGCAATGGTAATACAAGTGAGAGAACTCAAATTGGCCTTATTTTCCTCAGAAAAGACTCAATCTCAATGAATCACATATAATACAATTAATGCATACAATGACGTTATATCCGTAAATTTATTTATTTTCGTTTATTCTGTGGCATTTTCTTTGCAACCAAACAAACCGAGAAAATGAAAGGAAAGTGTAGAGATGAGACTTACTGGTGGTGGAGGATTGAGTTTGAGGTGTACGCTCCAACACCACGAGTTGAGGATCTTGGGACTCTGTATTTTGCGCAGACATGATTGAAGAGAGAAGAGAGAAGAGAGAAGAGAATCAGATTATTCACTGTTTACGACTCACTCAGATATGGCTAGGGCTTCTTCAATCATGCGTCTTCTTTTTTAATGACAAGTTTCTCTCCGGTCCTGTGCGGTTCCAGGAAGTGCAGTCTGGTCTGGCCCGGCCGTGAGTACTACACGTGTCGTGCGGAGATTGGAGGAATTCGGGTTTGTGGGCTCACTTTGGGTGCTTGACGGTAAAAATTTTAGAGATTGTTTGGGATGGACTATATAACTGTATTTTTTTTATTTTTTATATAAAAAAAATAGAGAAAAAAAAATGATTGTTTAGGATAATTTTAAATTTTTTATGAAAAAATAGGTATTAAAATATTGTATAAAATAACAAAATTACTGTATTACTCCTATATCTTATGCGTACTGACAATGACAGTTGCAAGACCAGTACGGATTGCTTTGAAATGAGATGGTGCCTTCGTAAGATACATATATATATAGGATGAGGCTTCTCACCAACCCTTCATCGGACTGGAGAGTACTGTTGGGCCCATGGAGGGCTCACCACAAGTCCCGTTTCAATAATTTGAACCATTCAATGTGTACAACTCGTCAAGTACTATATATCTGTAAGAAATCAAATTGATCGAAAATCAATAGCTATGTGATCAAATCAGTTTTGTATGGAAAAAAATAGACGATGAAAAATAAACAACTGACAAAAATCTAATTTGATCATATAGCTATTAATATCCGATCAACATAATTTTTTACAAGTATATAATACTCAACGAGTTCTACACATTCAACGGTTCGAATTATCGAAACAGGACCTGTGGATAGCCCCTATAGGCCCAACAATACCCTCCAGTTTAATGAATATATATATCTAATTTTTTCATAAGATATATAAAAAGTACCCTCACGGGCCCACACGTGAGCTTGTACCATCAATGGAGGGTACAATTTTGGCTTGTACTTTTTTTTTTGATAATTTTTTTGTGAATAGTGATAATTTTTTGACTTTTTGTCTTTTATAGACTATCCCAAACAAACACTTAAGCCAAGTTTGGCATTCTCAAGAAAATCTAAAAAGTCATAAAGTCACTAAAAAAGTAAAAAAGTTCATACTATTTACCTCTTTTTGAGGGAAATATCTCAATTGAAGAAAAAAAATATAAAAAAAAAAAACAGCGCTGCACAGGTACGGTGTAGCCGCACATCCCAGACAAAAAGTTACGTGGCACACTGTGTCAAAAAAAAAAAAAAATTGAAAAGTGACATAAAGTGTACTGCCAGTACTGCACTCTCTTGTCAGCGAGGGCAATTTCGTAATTTTACAATTTTATACAATATTTTAATACACATTTTTTCATAAAAAGTCAAAAAGTTAACCCAAACATCCATATTTTTTTCCTCAACTTTTTAGTCCAAAGAAAACAAAAAGTACACTTATTTAGGACACCCCAAACAACCCCTTAGTCTCTTTTAGGCTCAAATTTACAAAAAGATAAAATAAGTTAAAATAATTAATAAGATAAAATGTCACATCAAATCCATAATCATTTCACCTTTTTTTTCATAAATAATACATTCAACTATAAAAAAATCTAATCATTCTCCCAACACACAAAAATTTTAGCCTACTAAAATAGTCAAAAAATAAAATAACCTACTAAAATAACAATTTTCTAAACACTCACTTTGGGTGTATTTGGTAAAACTTATTTGCAGCTTAAATCAACTAATAGTTTAAAATAAGCCATGTTGGAGTGTTTGATAAAAATTATGAGAAATGGATTATAGCTTAACTTAAGGCATTTCAGCAATAAATCTATTAAGTTGGTTCCCAAGTGTTTTTGAAAACTGATTATGTGTGCAGTTATTTGTTAAGGCGTGTAATGACTTAAATGCCCCACAGATATTTCAACTATTACCAAAAACCCACTATATAAGCCTTGTTTTCAACACTGTTCACTTGAGAGAGAGAGAGAGAGAGAGAGAGAGACATAGACGATTTCGGGCGAGGGTGATTTATGGCTCCTCAACACTGTTTTCGACTCCCTTCCTCTCTCTCTCTCTCTCTCTCTCTCTCTCTTATACACACACACACAAACGAACCAAAGCTCTCCCTCTCCCACCTCTCTCTCTCTTCATCGCGCATCAACACCGTTTCAGACCGGCGACTAGGTTTTCACGAATCTCTCTCTCTCTCTCTCTCTCTCTCTCTATCGAGATCTGAAACCGAAAATCATCTCTGGCGTTCACTTTTTATCCGCCGCCTCTCACACCTGCATCGATGGCTTGCGCATCAACACCGTCATATTAACGCCGTTTTAGACCGACGGCTAGGGTTTTGCGAACGAGAGCTTCGTGATTGGGATGAAGAAAAAAATGAGAATAAGGGTTTTGCAGACCGACAGGTAGGGTTTTGCAGAACCAGCTGGTCGCCGATCTAAAACAGTGAAGAAATGATGAGGAGAATAAGGGGGGCCAGCGGTGTACGGATTGAGGAGAATAAAGAGGCCGGTGGCTAAGGTTTTGTAATAAAAAAAAATTGATTGTTTAATGAAAAAAAAATTGATTACATTAATTGATACTAATTAATAATTTTAGTATTAATTGATACTAATTAATGAAATCACAATTAATATAAAATACATGAATATAATTAATATGTAAGAAGAGAAGAACAAAAAAGAAGAGAATAAAAAATAATTAAGAGAAGGAAAAAAAAAGAAAGAGAATAAAATAAGGAGAAAAAGAAAAGAAAATAAAATGAAGAATTTAAAAAAAAAAAAGGGCAAAAAGGACATTATACAGCAACAGATTATTTTACAGCTTTATTCAACCAAACACTACTCTGCTAATTAAATCCATAATCTCACAGCTGCACCAAACAGGTTAACAGCTTATATTTAAAATTATAATCTATAATCTGTTAAATTACATTCTATAATCACTTTAGCACAGTTCTACCAAACGGGGTCCTTATTTGACAACTTATGAAAAAAATTGTAGGAAAATAAAGTGATGATGTGATAACAAATAAATTATTTATCTAGGTTTTGTTTAAGGATTATATATTTTAGTCAAAATGTCATTATAAGTTGTCATATTATTTTTTCTGCATATTATTTTGAAAAAAATAAAAAAATTATTAAAAAAAGCTTTTTCCCATATGAGACCTTAGATGGTTGTCAAACCATCCCTTAGTTTGTAATATTTTTGTATCAATTGTATAGAATTTTTTTAACAGAAATTAATTGATTTATAATTATATACATTTAAATAATAAATAATAAATCATAAATCATAATATCATATCATAGGAGTATTAAAAATAATGTTTTTTTTCTTATTTTTTCTTTTTTGGGTAGGTATTTTCTTATTTTTTCATGTCTTATTCTATATTCAATATCAATTGTATATTATTCTATATTATAAATTTGTCGTTTAAATTTTATAATGATTCTATATATTAAATTATACGTTATTTCTTACATTATTTTATATAATTACAAATCACAGGAAGAAAAAACTGTACAACAATGATACGCTTGAAGAACCTCTAAAGTTTGGATTTACAGCTTGAGTTAATTTTTCAATTGTTAAATAGTAAGGTTTTTTTTATATTTTGACATCATATTACAGATGATTAATCACTTCACACACTGAGATACATAAATCGATTTGATGTTTTTATTATTTTTTCTTTTTGAGTTTAGATATTGGTACGTGATTATTTATTGATTAGTCGTTATTTAATTTTTTTTATATAGTTTATATTTTAATTTAATTAAGAGAGTTTATTTTACAATTTTATAATTATATATATCATATAAAATCATTATGTGATAATCCAATTACAACATAATTATATTTAATTTTTTTAATAAATTTTATATAATTTATATTTTTACATATTTTTATTTTCCAAATGAATATAAAAGAAAATTAAATAGTTAGAATTACTTTTAATTTTATGTTACTAATTCTTCTTCTAATTTAACTATTATTTTTAATAGCAAAATAAGTATTTATTTATTATTTTATAATTTAATATATATCATACAAAATTATTATATGATAATTATACTTTTATAATACAACAAAATTAAAATTATCAAAATGCACAAATAATTTAACTAAAATTAATATATATATATATATATATATAAGTATTCAAGTAACAATTTTATAGAATGATAGGGTCAATATTATCAAAATAAATAATTAAAATCGTAATTTAATTTTAAATTTAAATTATTCTTTTATAACACACATTGTATCATTAAATATTTATAAAAAATATAAAATAAAAAAAAACACATGCGTTGTATAGGTCAAATTCTAGTATATTATTAAAAGGAATGTGTTTTTCTACTTTTAGGTGGCACATTACAATGGCTTATTGTAGACACCCCATTTTTGACCGTCCTCAAGGCTTGGACGTCACCGTTTGAACAGTCGGTGATCATCTATGTTCGTGTTCGTCTTGAGTTCTCGGAGGTCTCGCCCACGCGCCTTGCCTCAAGACCTCTCGACTTGCCTGTTTTGTGTTTGGTTTTGCACCAAACACTTGTGTTTTGCTTTTGAGGAGCAGGAAATGGCTTGCTGGCCATCCCCACATCTCACCGGCCATTGTTTTGTTGCCATCGGCACTCTGTTTGGTCGGTCGACCATTTATTTGGTCAATTTGGCATTTTTGGCTGGCTGGCCGACCACTGTGCATCTGCTTTTGGCAGATATTTTGTGCCAGCTATGCTAGCTGGCACCCACTTTGCACCCCCTCCACACACGTGT